ATCCCCCCCACCCCCCCCACCCCTGCTCCCTATATTTACCTTTCGGCAAACGCTCCTTCCCCTCTTCCGGTATGGGTGTACTATCCATACCCCATACTGCTGCCCAATGCAGCCCTGTGCTATGGACTTTGAATTCTACTTGGAATTTGTGAGCACTCGTTGGCCAGCCCAGTCACCTGCACTGGAAGGCAGTATGGAGTACTGATAGGACGGAGCATTTACCGAAAGATTGGGGAGCCAGATTTGAGCGGGTAATTCCGTTTTCCCAAATTACTTAGAAAAGTGAACTTACCCTTTAAAACCTGAGATACTTTATTGAGATAAAAGGGTTTAAATGCAACTTCACATTAAAGCTGAACTGAATGCTGAAATGAATGCAGCTCTGTGATGATTATTACGTCCTTTAGTGTATGTTTAAAGGAGAACTATGAGGTTGGGGGGAGTGATTAGATAGGCAGAGCCAGCTGTCACTCACACAGCTGGGCGGATCTCAACGTCGATGTCGGGATCCGCTCTGGCTGCGGCGTCTCAGTATATAGTGAGCTGTAGCTCGCGGTATACTGAGCCTAGGGTGACGGGAGGACGCTAGTTTGTGTCCTCCCGTTACCCTAAGGAGAACTATGGGGAAAAACACTGACCCCATAGTTCTCCTTTAAATACAAGCCAAGTAAGTACCTGAATGTGATCTGCATCCATCTCCACATAAGCGCCGCTTGCCCCATTCATTCCTATACACATGGTGGCCCCTGGCTATTAGGCAGTTAGAAACTCGGGAGTAGGAATGAAGGTACATATGTTGGTAAAGTAGCTGCTATTCGGGGGGAGGAGGGGAGTGAGGGGGGTGATTTAAAGGACAACTTCACTAAAAGTAAACTTGTCCCCTAACACAGGGGTAAAGGTTTTTATTTTCAGCCATGTGACTGCAAATTCGAAAGCCGGCTTTCCTCTTGTGAAAAGCGCACTGAGACCCATTTATAAACATCAGTGATATGTCTTTTCGTTAAAGGGTAGTTCCACTTTCCCAGGTGAATGTGGGAAAATGGAATTACCCCCTCCAATCTACCCCCGCTATACTTACCTTTGGACGAATGATCCTTACCCTCCACCGATGCCGGTGTACTATCCATACCCCATATGTGGCAGTGCAGTCCT